GCTAAGACAGGATGACAGAGATGGACTGCTTCTTCTTCTTTTACTTTTTGAAAGTTTATTCTTAAATGTACAACAGGCTCCAAGACAACACTTCAATCTAACTATAGGTGACAAGAGATGTTCTAGCAGGGAATTCAAATGTTTAAACAGAAATGCAATCAAGGGTCACCATCTCCACAGCCACAAAAAACAGCTTCTTTTTTGCCTGATTTCTTAATTCCACCTGTGGCCAGGGGGCCCTTCCCCATAGCTTTCACTTTTAGCTCTTCAAATTTCTTCTGCTCTTCTTTTTGTTTCTGCTTGAAAGCCTTATCTTCCTCGTCCATTTCCTTGTTCTATTTTTTTGGGTTGTTTCAGGGGCTTCTCCTTGCCTTTCTGCTCCTGTGAAGATTTAAAGACTTGGAACCCCTAGATAGGGTTGCTATGAGTTGGAGCCAACTCAAAGGCACTTAACAACAACATAGTTTATATACTATATATATAATGTGTGTATACATATATACGTGTGTACACATGTATGTGTGTGTGTATATATAATTGTGCGCAAACATATGTGTGTATACACGTGTGTATATGTGTGTGTAAACATATGTGCGCAAACACATATGTATACATAATATGTGTACATGTGTTTATGCATATGTGTGTGCATACATATGTGTGTGCACATGTGTGTAAACGTGTGCATGTGTGTGTAAACATATATGTGTGAGTCTACATATGTGTGTGTGTGTGTGTGTAGTATATAAAGGGAGCATGGATGTTCCAGACGGTAACAACATAGTTTATATACTATAAATAAATATATATATACATATAATGTGTGTGTGTGTAAACATATTTATGTGTGTATACATATAGGTGTGTGTATACATATATGTGTGTGTTTATATATATAAAATGCGTGTGTATAGATGTGTGTGTAAACATATATGTGTGTATACATATATGTGTGTGTATATATATGTAATGTGTGTGTGTATATATGTGTGTGTGTGTGTATCTATAGTATATAAAGGGAGCACGATGCTCCAGACGATAAGCACTGGACAACAAACCATAAGGTCCGCAGTTTGATCCCACCAGCCACTCCTTGGGAGAACGATAAGGCTTTCTGCTCCCCGAAAGCTTAACAAGCCTAGGAAACCCTATACAGGGTCGCTATGAGTTGGAATTAACTAGAGGGCACTTGACATAGGAATTAACAACAACATAGGCTATAAGTAAAAGGTCCCAACTAACACCCTTAAATGTAAAAATATGCGAACAGTAAACAATCAAAATGTTGACAATGGCTTTCTGTCAGTGGCGGGATGAAGTATGACTCTTCTCCTGCTTCTATGTTTTAGATTGTCTCTAATAAGCCATTTTCCCCATTGTTTTTCAAATTGAAAGGTTTTATTTTAAAAATAGGAAACTGAAATTTCTAAAAGAATACAGCATGAGACGGTTTTGTGCAGCAATGGAATCTTTTGTCATTTCCCCGTTTCTACTGCTCCCTAATAGTTCCTACATGTCCTTGTGCACAATGAGTAGCCATGGAATTTTTCAATTAATGACTGGCTGACCAATCACTGACTTCGTGGGTTATTAATAATATTCTCAGTAGAATACACATCTTTTCAGGGTTTTCCTACAGCCCCAAATGATGAGTCAAGGAGAGAGATTATATTTGGAAGAGAAGCTATCAGTCAGAAAGCTGTATCTGAAAAGACAAGATGATACTGTTTATAGAACCCCTACAAGAAATTAGTTTTATGTTCCTACAGTCTTAAAGTCAGCATCTTAGCCACTCGCAAGTAATCTCTTGAGAGAGATTTACTTTCAAAATGAACTATTTTCTTGTCCTTGACACATTTCTTCGCACACGGTCCCCCTCCCCACAGTGGAGAGCAACTTTGTCGCCTCATTCAGACTAGTTCCTCTTCTGTTCTCCTAGTGGATCTAAGCAGGATCTAAGCAGAATGCCAGTGACCCCAGCGGCGTCTGTCACCAGAGTCTGTTCTGTGTAAAGGTTTGTTTCCCTATATGCTGTTACTTACAACTGCTGGTGAGGGGACATGGATGCTTGCGACGGACCGTGGACGGATGTGGTTGACCAGATGGCAGAGGACCACCCCATCCATGAGCGCGGCCCCCAGGTCTTCATGTAGGCTGACCTTTAGTCTCAGCTCGATGCTCTGGGGAGGGGTCAGAAAGAAGCCTGTTGTGAGTAGCTTTCTTCACCTGAGACAACTGAGGTAAAACTGACGTATACCATAGTTACAAGTATTGCAAAATTAGACGCCAGTTTCATTATGAGGGGAAAAAGAGTAAGAACACCTGGAAAAGGTGTAACATTATATCTTTTCCACAAATTTCAAAATAGAACTCCCTCTGTACATTTTTAGAAAATCAGCTAAGTGTACAATGTTTAATTAGAATGGAAGCAATAATGGAATAATTGCTTGTCTTTAATGTCTCCTCAGTCTTGGCTATAAAATGGAAAACCAGAATTAGCTGACAGACGAAAACTAAATTCAACTAGTTGAGGCAGGCTGCAAGGAGCAGAATAGGGACTAAGGAATGCTTTTGTGTTAGATTGTGTTTTAGTTCAGAGATTTAATTGTGTTCCCCTTTCTTTCTTAAATTAAGCTTTTTCAGTTTGAGGTAACTGCAGATCTATGTACTGATGCTGTTGCATCAATTCCGTCTGAGTGGTTTTCCATGGCTGGGTTTTCGGAAGCAGATCACCAACCAGGCCTTTCTTTTGAGGTGCTTGCCTCTAGATAGACTCCAACTTCAAAACATTTACACCATAGAATAGCAACAAAACCAGAGTACTGGCATCAATACAGTTAAGACTCTGAACATTTTCCATCGTCACAAGCATCCCAGCCCCCACCTCTCCCCTGGCATCTCTATTTCTATAATTTTGTCATTTCAAGACCGTCATAATATAAGTGAAAACGTACAGTATGCAATCTTAGGAGCTGGCTTTTTTCACTCAGCATAAATCTTGAAATTAACCCACATGATCTACACACCATAGTTAAAGGGCACCTGGATTGTTTCCAGTTTGGAGCTGTTACAGAATAAACATTTCTGAGCCTTTTTTGTTTTCATTTTGATTACATTCCCACTAGCAATGTACGAGTGTCCAATTCCTCTGCTTTCTTTCCAGCGTTTGAGGCTTTCACTGTAATTGATGAGGAGCTCTGGTGGTATAATGCTTAAGTGCTTGGCTGCTAAGTGAAAAGTTTCTAGTTCAAGCCCATCCAGTGGCTCCACAGGAGAAAGACCTGCTGATGTATGAGTTGGAACCAATTCGACAGCACTTAACAATAACAACAAAGATTAAAGTTTGCTGAATTGCTAAGTAGTTGCTTTCCTAGTATTTGGCTAGAGAGAGTACATTGGTACTGTGACTTGGTTGGTGTCTGTGTTTCTGAGTTGCAGTTTCGTACCTCCCTTTCTGGAATGTATGAGGTCCCTAGGCAGTCTGCCTTCACTGCTCCATTTTCAGAATGTTCTTATGTTTGTTTTAGAAATCACACATAGGATTTTTAAACACCATTACTACTATTGTATTTAGTAGGAAGAATAGAAAACAGTATGTCTCCTTCATCTTCCTGGAAGTGGCGGAAGCAGACAAGTCAGTTAAAAAATTTCTAATAATAGTTTCTGCTTTGCAATAAAAGATCCTTTTAAATGGATAATTAAGGCCTAAGAAGTAAGGACTTAATTTGGTGGTTTGCAATAAATTAATAAACACATGAAAACCAGTAAATTTAACAGTGTTACATAATGGTCTTCTATACTTTCCACAATAAAACCTATTTATATGCAAGCCAGAACCTGTGTAAGGTGGAAACCCGACAGAGAAGAAAACTCCAACATTTCCCACTGAATAGAGAGATAGAAATGTGCTCAGTGTACCCTGTCAAAGGCAGAACACTTGCAAAACACAGAAAAACAGCAGTCCCATCAAGTTCCGGCTCTCACAGGTTTTACGGTCTTGCTCTCTATTCAGTGGACGATAGTTGTGATTTTCTTCTTTGACAGGATTACACCTTACACAAGTTCTGGCTTTAGCTGGTTTGACTGTATAGATACCATTTGCAAGCATAAAGTTGCTGACCTATCACATTTTATATGTTGTTGCATGATGATCCTTTATAGGTTTTCTGAGAAGCAACTGGCAGGCTTGAACTGCCCACAGCTTGTGGTTAGCAGTCCAGTGCTGATCCTACAGCACCATACCAGGGTCCATACAAATATATACATTCATGTAAGAGTCCTGGTATGGCACTGTAGGATCAGTACCAGACTGCTAACCACAGTTCAAACTCATCATCTGCTGGTCCTTGGAAACCCTATGCAGGGTCTCTATGAGTCAGAACTGATTTGACAGTACTTAACAACAACCACATACATATGAGGAGCCCTGATGGTACAGTGGAGTAGGTGCTGGGTTGCTAACTGCCAGTTCAGCAATTCGAGTCCATCAGGGGCCCCTCAGGAGAAAGATGGGGCTTTCTGCTCCTGTAAAGATTTACAGCCTCAGAAATCCTATAAGTTTGGTCATTATGAGTCAGAACTACTCAACAACACACAACCACCACCACCACACATACATATGTACACACACATATTTATACACACACGGAGATAAGAAACTGCTGCTTCACTTCTGCACATTATTCTTCAGATCTAGAATATTTCTGTTGTACCTCACGGAGCTGCTCCAACAGTTCCTTTTCTTCTCTCATCTGTTCCATTTTCCTCCGAATTGTAAACTGTGGGTCTATAGATTCCAAATTTCTCTGAGGTCTTAGAAATACTGTAATATAAAGAACACAGAGGCTTTATGTAATAGCTTCTACAGGTTGCTTCATACACCTACTCATATTTAAATGCAAAAATAGTTTCTTTATTCATTCCAGATAATTCATATTGTAGGTTGACAGACCTGAGATATCCCTGTTTGTCATGGAAAGCTACACCATGGAGTTCCTGCAGAGTGTAAATGGTTTACATGCTTAGCTGTTAACCTAAAGGATGGAGGTTTGAGTCCACCCAGATGTATCGTGGAAGAAAGGTCTGGTGATCTATGTCTGAAAAATCAGCCAGTGAGAACCCTTCAGCGCACATTTCAACTCTGACACACACAGGGCTGCCATGAGTCAGCATTGACGCAACAGCTATGTGTTTTTATTAAGACTATCTTTTAAGTTATACTGGATGTGTAGACAAACATGCTGAAATTTTTTTTTTTTTGGGTGACAATACAACGGATCTAGGGAGGGTTTAGGCCCCTTCTTTGATGGTTGTCCCTCCTCTTTCAATTCTCAGCTGTTTTCATTCTAAGTTTTTGTTTCTCTTCAATGTTTCACAATCCTTCCATTAAATTCAGGTAACTTGTTTTATGTTAAGACTCTAGAATTTTCTTATGTGTCGGACATACACACATTGTTTCTATTGGCATTACATTTTTTGTATGTCTCGGTTTCGTGCTTTTTTAATACCCGCTGTAGGATAATACATTGGTCCGCCTGGTAGGTTTGAACCACAAGGTCGGCAGTTCAAATCCACCAGCTGCTCCTCAGAAACTCTATATAACAGGGTTGCTATGAGTGGGAATCAAGTTGACAGCACTTAACAACAACACTGCACTGTTAGATGTGGAGTGGGGAAATGCAGCCTTCTACCATCTGGCGCTGTGGGTTAATGCGCCAGATTGCAAAGCCGTTTGAACTGCAAGGTTGGTGGTTCAAGCTCACTAGCTGCTCCTTGGAAACCCTATACAGGGTCACTATGGGTCGGAATTGACTCGACGGCACTTCACAACTACAACAACAACGCCAACCATGTTCTGGACTGTGATCCAAAAAGTGAGTCCTTTCAGAGGGGAGCAGAAACTGGCAAGATCAAAGGTAGCTTAACAGATGCATCATCAGCTCCTTAAACTTGTAAGAACAGCAATTAATAACCACTGTGTGGCTCTATGGGTCAATGCGCTGGACTGCAAAAGTTGTTTTGAACCGCAAGGTGGGTGGTTCAAGCTCACCAGCCACTCCTCAGAAACGCTATACAAGGTCACTATGGGTGGGAACCAACTCGATGGCACAACAATAACAACAACAACTTCCTCTGAAAGAAGAGTCAGTTGCTTGCTCCAGAGAAAACAGATGCCCCAAAGTCTGTGAAGCATACCATAATTTCAAGACCAGTAGAGAAGATACACAATATTTTACATACAGCAAAGGTTTTCATTTTTATCAGCATACAAGCCCCAGAGCTGATTTAAACTCGAATTTTTATCTTCATTGGGGTTTTGTCCTATTAAGGCTGCCAGCTCTCCGTGCACATGAGTGAGCCAAAGATCAGTCTGAAGCCATATTTGGTTTTTACTTCTTTTGTCCTACAGACCTGAAGATTCTGTGTATTGGAGGAAGTGGGGACAATTTCTACAAGAAGTTCTGGGTATAAAACTCCAGTTTCAGATATCAAAGATCATATAGAAAGGTGTCTTGGTACACAGTAATTCTAGTGGTTCCAATCACTACAATTTCTAAATGTTAGAATAAGCTGGTGATAACATTTTTATTCTCCCCTGAAGAGCATTTCTTAATGTGTTGCTTTAAAAACCTTTTCAATTCACTGAGTTTAAAAAATTAAATCTAGTTTACAGATATCATATCATCTACTCAGTTATCCTCACTTAATTGTGACATTTTAATTTCAATTTGTAACTTTGACCCAAAACACCTAAAATAAATGACTTGCATTATACTTCTCTTTATCTGATGACGATCTTCTTTCTCAATTGGTTCTAGGATATTTAAATCTGTATTCTGGGCCTCTATGGAAGACTACAAAGCTGAAGCACAAGAAAAAGTGTCTGACTTACAGTTGAGACCAAGCAAATGGAGAAAAGACAATTAATGCATATGCATGCCTTCAGGGACCTCCAAAAGGAGTTCGACTGCAGCCGGGCCTCTGCCCTCTGCCACAAGGCCACTCAGGATGGCTGTCACAGGCAAAGTCAAAGGCCTGTGTCAGAAGGGTTTCCATCATGCCCTACAGAAGCTGGTCTCCATGAGAAGCGAGCTCAATGGACTCATTTGACAAGCAAGGTCGGCAAAGGAAGAAGAGAGGTGGTGCTGAAGGGAAAGGTGAGGAGGTCACAGAGCGGTGGGAGTGAGGAAAACCTGACAAATGGAGACATCTGGAAGGACTTGGAGAATGTATCAAAGTTGCTTTACACCATAAGGAGTCTCTGGGTGGCACAAACAGTTAAATGCTCAGCTACTAAATGAAAGGATGGCACTTCGAATCCACATACAGGTGCCTGAAAAGGAAGGCCCAGTTCTGGAAAGTCAGCCACTGGAAACCTTTGAACTCTGATACACATGGCGTCACCATGAGTTGGTGTTAACTTGAGAGCAACTAGGTTTTGTCTTTTATAGATCACAAAACACAAAACCATTCACGGTCACCGAATTGATTCCAACTCATGCAACATATGCATGTGAAAGTTGGACACTGAATAAGGAAGACCATAGAAGAATTATTGCATTTGAGTGTTGGAGAAGAGTATTTAATATACTTCCAGAAGAACAAACAAATCTTTCTTGGAAGAAGTACGGCCAGAACATTCCTTAGAAGCCAAGATGGCACGATTTCATCTCTCATTCTTTGGACATATCCCTGGAGAAGGTTATCATGCTTGATAAAGTGGAGGGTCAGCAGAAAAGAGGAAGACCCCAAATGAAATGGCTTGGTACAGTGGCAGCAGTAATGGACTTAAGGTTAACAACTATGAGGATGGGGCAAGACTTGCAAGGTTTCATTCTGTTGTACACAGGGTAGCTAAGAGTCAGAACTGACTCACAGCTCCTAACAACAGCAACAAGGTTTTTTGTTTTTGTTTTTTAAATATATCACAAAAAAATCCCATTGCCATCAAGTGGATTCCAACTCATACAACTCTTTATATTTTTTTCCCAAACTGTAAATATTTATGGGAACAGACAGCTTCATTTTCCTCCTGAGGAGCAGGTGATGGATTTGGCCGCGGACCTTGCAGTGAGCATCCAGAATCACACAAAAACTACCCGTAAGTGTAGCAAGCAGAATGTAAAATGTATATATACCATGACGGAAAGTCTAGAATGAATCCACACCATCAAAGTAAAAAACGTAACTACATTTACCAAAGAATGTGGCTGGAGGTCGTAATACACACATAAGACAGCATGGGGCGCCCCAACCCTATTTACACAAATGTCATGTTTTCATTGGAGGTTTTAGTTTCCTTTGCCTTTTTTTCCCTAGGGGTAATCTTATCTAATGCAGCATGTTTAATATTTTCAATATGTTTTTACTGGCAGATTTCATTCCTAACATGAAACTATCAGGAAGTTAAATGAGCTTTTGTTTAACAGAATATAGTTCAAGTTATCTACGCCTTGTTGGAGCCCTATGTGAGAGATCCCAGGATCATGTAGGAATGTTTGGGTCATAATTTCTTGGCATTCCTTTTCATCTTAAACACACCAAATGCATACTTGGATATTTTCTGTATCAATGTTAATCAATAATAATAATTTAAAAAGCAATGTTCAAGAACACTTGGACTGTGGTTTTCAAATGACCACTTTAAATGTACATAAAATTATTTGAAAGGATGACTAGAATACTATGAATTTTCTAGAATATTTAGAAATTTAAAATAATCTCTTTCAGGCTAATAGTCTACTGAGCATGGAAGTGATTAGCTCCATTCTACCTCTTTCTCCATTCTCCTTCCCACCCTCACACATGAGCTCAGAGTAATCTATCTACTATGAACTTAATTTAAAATAAAAAAATCTGTTTCTTCTATGAAGGCATCCTGGTGGTGCAGTGGACTAAGCAATGGAATGCTAACCACAAGGTTGATGGTTCAAAATCCCCACCTTCTCCATAGAAGAAAGATGATGCTTTCGTCGGTTCCTGTATAGATTTATATTCTCAGAAGCTCTGAGAAGTAGTTCTTGTTGGTTCCAACTCAGAGAGACTGGCTAGGGATTCCAAGGAGGTGATGGCTTTGAGCTGCTGACCTTGAGGTTTAAGTGGACCAGTGCATTACACTGCAGCACCACACCAGAAATCTGCGGAGCAGTTCTAGTTTGTTCTATGTTTGGTTACTATGAGTTGGAATCGACTTTAATGGCAGTAGGTTTTGTTTGTTTGTTTTGGCTTTGCTATATGAAAGTATAGATGTGTTTCTAATATGTGTCCTCTACCTTCTGTAAACTCAAATCCGCTCCCCTGTCACAGAGCAGATGAGTTTGTTAGATAAATATATGGAAGAGCTGCTCCAAAATCTCCTCCATTCAACGATGAGTCTATATAGGCAGCATCTTTACAGGAATGATAACTCTAGTCTGATAAGTCAATTATCTGAACTTTTATTCTCATGAGAAATCTCCTAAAGCTTCGTTTCCTGGCCTGAATACATGAGACCTGAAGCAAAAGTTCCATGAAAGCAAAGAGCTTGTCTGTCTCCATAGTAACAGAGGTTAAGTTTAGCACATAGTGAACACTCAATACATATGGGGAGGAGTCCCTTGATGGTTCAAACGGTTTAACACTCAGCTACTAAATGATAGGGTAAAGGTTCGAGTCTACCCAGAGGTACCTTGGAGGAAAAGTCTGCAGATCTATTCTCAAAAGGTCACAACCATAGAACTCATGGCGTACAGTTCTACGCTGACTCATGGTTCTGCCATGACTTGGAAGTGACTCAACAGCAGTTGCTGGGATTTGATATTTGAAGATGTTTCTAGGCAAGGA